CATTTAAGTTACGGAGTTTCGTAACCTAAGTAACAACAGTGGAGCAATAATAGTTAATAATAGTTAATGTAAGAAACAGATTAGGAATTTAGTATCACTTATATATTATATTTTTCATCCTAGAAATATGAAGAAATAAGTAAATTGAGTAATTTTACAAAGTTTGTACAATAAATCCCGAAATGCTTTAAGAGAGCGAAGCTCTGCTAGAAAAATAAGATTACAGGGACAAGTCTATTTAATATTTAGGTAAATGGCTAATTGGCAAGCTATCGACAAACTGGCGATGGTTTGGCGACTAATTTTTATCGCCAAATTTGGCCGAAAGTCGCCAAACTTGGCGACTATTTGGCAGCATTTTGGTCCACTCCTGCAATTTGGACTTGCTCCTGCAATCATATTTTCCCGGCAGAGCTTCGTTGTCTTGAGGCATTTCACTTTACATTATAAAAAATTCATAACATCAGTGTTTTGTTCTTCTGTTACTGTTTTATATAGAGAAAAGAATTATAAATTTATTTCTTTTACTGAGCAAGGATATATTCATCAAAAAGAGAAATCGGAAACATAAACATCCATTGACTTCCATGTCTGATACATTGAAGTACCTATTGCAGCTATTAAAATATTGTATCAACATTTAATGCATTCAGCTATGTAGGGAATATTGCTGATATATCAGGAATATTCATTACTGCAAAAATTGTTTCAGGACTCGCGTACCGAAAACTTGTAATTTATATCAAGTAATATTAATAAAACACAAAACAGTTAATATTTTCCTTTATTTAGGAATGAATGCTTTTCTTATTCAAAATAAGAGTTTGAAAGGAAGCTGCTGTTAGACATTCCTGGAGAAAGTTTTTAAAAAATACTTCTTTGGAGTTCACCTGAAGTTTGATTTAAAATAAAATCGGTAAATATATATTTTCAACTTCAGACCTAATAAAATGAAATTTACTCCCATGACACAGCCCATGTAATAATTCTGTACAGAAAAACTTCTGCAATTTTAAGTCCCACATAAAGATATATGGAATGGAATTCAATGGAAAAATTTGTTCAGGCGGAAAAATACCTATGAGGAAAATAATTTTAATAAATATGTGCATTTTAAAGAAAAAGTCGCAAATAAAATAATTTTCGATTTTTATTTTATTTATTAATTTGCGTTTTACTTGTTTGCAAGAAATGAGTCATTCTGTTTTCGAAAGCATGTTGAATAATAAATTTTTATGTATGTTTTGTACATCCATACGCGTGCACGCACGCAAACACGCATGGTATTTTTAATAAAATTTTTGTATTTTAAGCGCGAGTAGGAAAAATGTTAATCAAGGTTGTTTCAAAAATAATCTTTGATTTGATTAACTAATAATATATAAAGGGTATGTTTAAATAAATGTTACCATATTCAATAAAAGAGTCAAAATTTATTAAATGTTGATTTTTTAAGGATATGCAAATGCGCAAGTAAGCTTCCTGTAATAATTTTTCATAAATTTACTGGATCTCTTCATATATTGTTTTTTACTTGTCCAATGTAGATGTAGAGAGAATAAAAACTTTTTTAATGATCAGACATATTAATGGCGATAGAATGAGGAACATATGCGTGCTATTATGTTCAACATGTGCTGAATATCATTACTGGAGCATAGCAATCATCTTTTTCTCGTCGACAAGGTTGACATTTTGAAAGGCATCCCTTGACATTTTCTTCGAGAATTTTCTATATCATATGCCTATGTTTTGAAATAATCACTGATGCTTAGATTCAAACAGCTACTAGGAATGTCGAATTAACGACTTTCTCCTTCCAGTATTAGAGGCTCTGAGCTAAGATTGCTATAGTTCTGCATGGTCCCCAATCTCCATTATCGATGGTTACATTAGTATATGAGTGTTTAATTAGTATATTGAAAGATAAGATGAAGATAACTTTCTCTTGAGTTTTGTAAAAATAGATGAGAAACTTGTAGTCCATGAAAACAAGGATGATATCTTTGAGTGACATAGAATTATACTATGAACTATGTTGGAATTTTAATTGTAACTTTAGGTTAATGTCTTAACATTTTAAGGCGAAACGAAATTTTTTATGAAGTCGTAATATACGAATTAGAAACATCTTTTATTAATTATGTTAGCAATACAAATGTTCATAAAAGCATCAGTGGAACACGAATTAAATACAAGGAGAGGAGCAAAATAACCGGACAAGTTTCAAAGACCAAACGATAAAATAAAAAGGTGAAAGAATAAATGTATGTTTAAAAAGACTGCCATCCCAATTCTTGTTAAAACCAGTTTGCAGCTTAAATACACACGCAGCTTGAACTTGATAGTTTGTCGTTTGCATATCAAAGCGCCGGAGTAACTTTTTTTTTCCGACTGAGAAGATATAGTACAAAACATTTTCTTCTATATGGAAAAGAGTTATCACATTACATTTTTAGCCCACAGGGCGTTAGCCCAAAAGGGCTGTTAGTCTCGCAATCTCATTTTGCGTTGAATCACTTAAATGCGGTGTATCACATTTCAAATTATTGCCACCAAATATTATCACCCTGTACCATATTTAAAGAAACTAAATGATGAAGAATCTGTATTAATGTATGCAGATTTCTCACATTGTGAAAAAACAAAGGTACCTAGAATAATCTAATTTTGAATAACATTGTCCTCCCCCCGAACATGGCACCTGGAAACCCGAATTTGGAATTTATTTTATTGTCTATTTCATATTTTGTAAATCCTGAACGAATTTTTGATTAACAAACTTAAGAATTTTAAAGTCAGCAATGGCAATACTGTACGAAAAAAACATTATCTGCAGCGCACGAGACTATATATCGGAAATTCTAAAGATATGCTGTTTTTAAATATTTTTAGCTCAAACACTCTCGAAACGTGTATGTGTCTGTAAATGAAAAAAACGCCCTTTTGAACGTAATAACAAATCTGAAAGCTTTCAGATTATATTTATTTTTTAAAATTACTATTATTATTTTTGTTTCAAATTAGGTAAAACTGCTACCGAAACGTTACAATGATTTGAACAGTATATGGAGATGCATCGTTATGTTATCCACCATACAACTGTATGAGTGCTACAACCGCTTTAAATGTGGGCGCGTGTAACAACTCAGCAGATTTCGGATATGGTAGGGATAAGCAAAGAAAGCTGTAGGTTAATTTTAATTGAAAATCTGAAAATGAGGAAAGTTTGTGCTCGATTTATACCTCGGATTTTGACAGAACATCAAAAAGGAAGCAGAAAAACTTGCTGCGAAGATTTTCTGAAACCTGCGAGACAGAACAACAATTTCTCAAATCTCAAAATGTATCATAACGGAAGGAGAGACCTAGTGTCTATAATAAGAGCCAGAAAAGTCCACAGTGGAAAAGACCATCTTCTCTCACTCGAAAAAAAATTCTTCAGTACATGCATGTTTACCATTTGTGTGTATGTGTATAAGCCATGCTCATAATTTTGTTATGAAAAAAGATAAAACCTTGTAGAGACATAATGTATTTTTTGAAAGCAGGAGAGATGAAAAATGAGCAATGCCCTCGTCGGGGCTCGAACCTCTGACCTCTCAAATACAAGCTGAGTGTGCTGACCAGGAAGGTATGTTAAGAAGGTGGGTAGAAGGTGGGAGAAGTATCTTATAGCTTACACATATAAGAATTTAACAATTTTGCCAATGACTCTTTAGATTTTTTTGTAGTATTGTATATTCAACAGCAACATACTCCAGATACGACAAGGATCTAATATTTTGTATAAAAAATGAAGATAAGTAATAACTACTAATAATCAGCAGTGTGAATCTCTTAATAACCTTATTTACTGTCTCTTTTACCTGTCACATTCTTTATTACGACAAAAAGAGTCAATAAATGAATGAAATGTTTCTTCATAGTTAGAACGTATTTTTACTTTAGAGTTTTCTGTGATTTTAAAATTATATTCGCAGTTGCTTATTATTTGTCTCATTTATTATTATGAGTTTTATGACTCATTAGTCCAAAGGGACGTTAGCCTAGAAGAGCTGTTAGTCTCGAAACGGAATTTTGCTACGAATCACTAAAAGCGTTGAGTGACTTTTCCAATCGTTGCCACTAAATACGTATGTTTCTCGCATTGTGAAGAAACAACGCCACCCAGAAACATCAAATTTTGAATAACATTGTTCTCCGCCCGAGTATAATCGCGAATTTTGAATTTTATTTATTATCTATTTTATATTCTGTAAAACTTTATAAAGAGATCGAGCTGTAAAATTACTGAACAGTGGTAGTTCCATCTAGAATTCGAATCGAGACGAACGGATTGGCTACATAGGCTAGTGGTTTTCCCGATGTGTAATGCGTGTGCTAGCCACTTTGCCTAAAAAAGTCCTCCACGGAGATATCCCTACTTTTAGGCAAATACCCCTCGAGTGCTTTGCCGTAATCAAATAAACCAAACCAAGGTTAAGCCGAAATCAACTTTCTGCAGAGTATTTTCGTTCTTGAAGAGAATGAAAATACGTTCCAGATATTTTTGAACTGAATAGAACATTTATGTCAAATTACCCTTAATTTAAAGATAAAACACAATTTAAAGTTCAAATTGTTAGACTTTTCTTATATTACTTACAGCACTATTTTAACAAGCGCTATGTGAAAATCATGTATTCGTAATTTTAAAAAAGAGATAAACATTTTGCTCTCAATCCATTATAAATTCCATAATTTTCAAAGAGTATACGTAAGGAACAATTAGATCTGCTGTTTGCTACAATGAAAACTTGGCAGCATATTAAACATCTATATCCTGACTTCTGCGTTTCAAAACCAACGTAAAATGCCGAGGAATCGATGCATGTCAAAATTTGCATGACAAGCTATCTCATCGAACATCTGTTTATTTTAAAGTGTAGCTTAAAGTGTAGCTTTAAAGACTTTAAATAGACTTGAGTTTCATCGCTAGCCGCCTTAATTCTTCAGTCAAAGTTTGATAGACAATACTGAAAATCTAACTTTAAAGAAAAATTAACGATGTTTGATAAACCTCGCAAGAGACTAAAAGGAAGCAGCACGCTAACTTATGATGCTATGGATACTGCTGGCAGGATTAGTAAGAAATTTATTTAAAAAAATCATTTTATACATTTTCGTAAAGCATTCTATTAATTGTATGAGTCTACTTTTTTAAAGACTTGATATTAATCTGATATTTTTATACTAATATAACATCAGAGCTGCAGCAATATATAGTCGTACTATTAATGGAATTTTGGGAAATTATGGTTGTGTTATTAATGATAAATCATAAAAATTTTAATGGAATTACTAATTTTTAATTATTCTCTAAAGTTTTAAAATTGAGTAATTGTAGAAAATTCTTTGCTTAAGCTCATTTAATGATACATACGTTATTTTACACAAATAACTTGATATGTACAATTCACTTATATTCAGTTTATAAGCTTATTCAGTATGTTTATTAAAGTCTTATTTACCTGGTAAAAATTAATTTTCAGTAAAGTCTTTTTAAACGCATGCATCAAATTTGCTTGAAAAATTTTTATGTTTTGCAACATGTTCTCAAGCTGAAAAAGTCAATAAAATATCCAAATTCTAAAATACACGACTGATACATTTCACACTAAAATTAATAAAAGAACGAAACGAAAACTTTGATTATTCATTTCGGCTTAAATAACTTAACTACTTCACAATCATAGTGCCGAATCATTATTTGAAGATATATTTCATTGATTCATTAATTAGTTTTATTTTTCTGTTTTTTACTCTCAGAATGCCTCTGCGGTATAATTCTTTGAAATATACTTCATTTGTCAAAGATTTATGCAATGCATGTTAACAAAATTTAGTGCAAAATAGTTGTGTTTTATAAAATTCAGTTGCTACTTATAATTCAGGAGATTTGTAAAGCAATTTTTGATGCTATTTCCATCTTATTAGATACATTCTTTCATAAATGAATTTATTTCTACTGCAAATTTATGAAGGTAATCACTTTAATGACTGTAATAATTACCGACTAATTTTATTCCAGGTTAATCGTAAGAATATTTTCTGGGTTCCATTTTAAGAAATTTGAAAGAAATAGAAAGTAGCAAAAAATAATAGTTAATAAAAAATAATAAAAGTTTAATAAAAATAAAAATTATAATGAATAGAGTGAGTGTTTAAACCTTATTTACTTGCACATAATAAAAAAATAAAAAATAATTAATAAAAATAATAAAAGTTTTAATAAAAAATAAAAATTTTAACTAAAAAATGAGTGGTTTAACCTTATCTACTAGCACAAATAATTTAAAAAGTCAACTCCACTCAAATAAAAATTAAAATAAATGAGTTATTCCTAAAAATCTGAAAACTGAATAATTTAGAACATTATTTATAAACATTTTTATTAGTAACATTATCAAATAAACAGTTAACAATTATCATGTACTCTCTTTCTTTAATCTATTACTGTAAGATCAAGAGGAATCAAAGGAAAAAGATTAAAAAGATATTTTTATATTCATTTTTTTTTTCAGTAAAATTTTAGGTATGTGATTTTTCAAAAGTACAGTAAAACATGAAATCCATTTGTATTTGCCTTTCTTCTATAATGCCTTTCTGAAATAAAATAGCAAAGATTAGATCTGAAACTGTAATACGTTCTTTGAATGGCTATTAACGACCCGACTGTTTTCGTCCTATTGTTTAGAGATTGTTAAGAGGAACACATTCTCATGCTCACTTGTGAGAACCGGTTTTTTTTATTTACAATTACTGCGATTTTTGACTCACAGTTTACTTTAATTACAAAGCATCATCTCTTTTATAGGAACATTTTATCTAAAATGCAATTAAATGCACACACATTCTGCAGATGTTTCAAATCAATTGTTAAATCACTCATTTTTACATTTCACATTTTTTATTAATTCCTGAATAGAAATGTGATGAAATCTTTCACGAAGGCTGCCTAAGGCGACCACTTCTGAAAGTGAACAATATTTTTGAGAAAATAAACAAGCATCTTGGCATCAGGATTGTAATCCATCATCGCTAGTAATGTTGTTTTAAGAGTTATCCCCTTCTCTGAAGACTGAAGTCGCCATTGCAGTTGGTTAAGTTAGTGAAGTTTCACTATATGCTCAAAATAATAATAAAAAACACAGTAACATATTCTGTTACATTATATTCGGCGTTCTCTCATATGCTAAACAACATTGTAAAGTTTTAGATTTTCTAAAATGCTGCGGTTCTTTAAATCATATTTATACAAAATTTCATGAAATTGAAACATATCTTTGCAAATATCTATGTTCATCCTTTTATTTCTTTCAAAGTTGTCTTTCGATTTAAAGTTATAGAAAATTATGAGCAATAACTCCCCCAAATTACGTAAGAAATGCGCTCTGTAAGCATTTGCATATTTCGAATTTTATGTAATATTAACCCAAAGGGCATTAGCCCAGAAGGGCTATTATTAATTTCGATTTGGCATTTGGCGTCGATTCACTTTCTGTCTTGTTTCACTTTTCAAACTGTTGCCACCAACTATTACAGCCTTGTATTATATTTAAAGAAATTAAATAATGAAGAATCTGCATAAATGTATGTATGTTTCTCGCACTGTGATAAAACAACGGTACCTAGAGCCATCAAATTTTGAATAACGTAATCCTCCAGCGAATATGGGCATCTGGAAGCCCTAATTTGCAATTTGTCAGACATTAAAGAATTTTTGATTAAGGAACTCAGCGATTTCAAAGCGAGAAATGGCAACATGTAAAAAAAAAATAAGCATTTTTATCTCTAGCGCGCGAGCCTGTGTATCGGAAATTCTAAAAATACGTTCATTTTAAAACTATTTTGCGATATTGCTGTTGAACTGAATTTTATGGTTTAAGTGCGAAGAATGGGATATTTAATAAATAAAGGTAACACACAAAACGTTAAAAAAACGCCCCTTTGGATGTAATGTGAAATCTGAAAGCCTTCAGATTTTGTTCAGCAATAAATTGTAGTTAAGTAATAATTTGTAAATTATTTAAATATACCTTTATAAGAAATTGCAATATTTATGACTATTATATACAAAAGTCCAACGAAAATTCTTCCCATTCCTTTACTTTCGCAATCGTTGGTAGAAGACATATATTTATTACAAAGTGTTTTAAATAGCTCAAAAATCATTGGCATTTTCATATTAAAAAAATCAGTTTAAAAAACAAGTGTAAAAATTAATGCAAAATCTAATTTTTTACCCGCTGCTTCGGTTCTTTTCTTATATTTAAGAAAATGTTATTCTCATCATAAAAATAAAACACAAGAAATTTGCCTCCCGTACGACAAAAATTAATTTAGGTATTTAATTTTAAAATCTGTAATTTTTAATGTCATTTTCAATTTATATTAAGGATTCGGTTCATAAATTAATTAAAATAATTTGAGGAAGAGCTTTTCCTCTTAAATGCCATTTAGTGGTATTCTTTTGTGATTTATTACAGCTTTTAATTTATAATATTTATATTTGGTATGCTGAATGAAATTTCATACAGATGATGAAGTTTGTAACTTTAGAATCCTTACTTAAAAATCATTATCTGAATGATATTTTGGTAATTTTTTTATTACTTTCTTTTTGAATTTATGTAAATTTGGTACATGCAGGACGATCGGTACATACAGGCATATCGGGAAAGGAAGTGAATTTAATAAGACTTTTTAATTAGATTAATTTTGTAATAATATGAGATTACCTTTAAAACGGTTTAAAGTCTCAGTAACAGTCATTTGAACGAAAAATGTACTGTCACTCTCATTAATCAGCTTGGTTTAAGACTCCAAAACACTTTTCGCTTGACAAGTTCTGTTTGAAGCATTAAACAATTTCAGACTACCTGAAGCGTTTATGTCTATAGAACGCCCAAAAAAGCGTTTTATCCTGACTGCCTCTTGCCGACTGTGAAGCATGGGGGTGGCGCCATTATGGTATGGGGTGCGATATCTTGGCGCGGTCTCGGGCCACTTGTTATTCTGTATGGGAGGATCAAATCCAATCACTATCTACGCATTCTAGGGGATCATGTCCATCCTTTTGTCCAGACTGTATTCCCTGGGGAGCGACCGTTTTTTCAAGACGACAACGCCACTATCCACACCGCTAAGTGTATTTAATAATGGTTTGAAGAGCGTGATGATGCAATTAAACATCTCGCTTGGCCCCCACAGTCTCCGGACTTGAATATTATTGAACATTTATGGACATATTTGCAGTCCAAACTTCGTTCCCGATTTCCACCTCCATCCTGACGTTCAGAATTAGAGACCGCTCTGCAAGAGGAATGCCTTAATATTCCTTTAAATATTGTACATGACCTTTATGCATCTATCTCACGTCGCATTCAACACCCTTTGACTGAAGTACAGGTTGAATGCGACGTGAGATAGATGCATGAAATCTTAATAAAGATTTCCCATTATTTCACAGATGTTCATATTGTTAGGAAAGGTACAGGCGCGGTAAGATGGCTTCGCCGCAAAGCAGTTTTAGGGTTGCCATAAAATAGCAAGGGAGGGCAGCGTTGCCACATTTGGCGAGAAATCGCCCATTTGGTGACAGTTGGCGACAAAATTGGCGATATGCCACGGACGGATGGAGAACCTTCTGGAACGAATTCTTACCGGTTTAGCTCAGAATTTCTCGAACACAAGCCGAAAGCTATATAAACCCAGCTGGTCCGCAGTCAGTTAGTATCGAGAGTGAGCCTTGTCGAGAAGACGAGTCAAAGTCCCTCGTCTGGAGTGCGAGAAAGTTAGTATCGAGTGTGTCTCGTCTAGCGAGTCAGTCCGTGCGGAGTCGATCGAGTTGACAGCGGGGCAGCGAGTGCCGAGTGGGTCGTCGAGTGCACCGAATGTTAGTGTATGGCGGTTAGTGCATCGTCGAGAGAGCGTGTTGAGCTTCGGGAACGACTGAACCGAAGAGTCGGGAGCTGTGCTCGTGTGTCGTCGTGTGCATCGCGAGTTGTAGCGTGGAGAGTCTCGAGAGTACGTGGAGTTCTGAGAGCGACCCAGCAGAGTCGGGAGCTGTACTCTGGTGCTTTG